CCAGATGCAAAAGAAGGTAGGCACCTTTGATAGATGTTCTACACCAGTGTTTCTGAAACATGGGTCTCCAGCTGCTTTTGGACTACAACTCCCATAATCCCTAGGTAGCAGGACTAGTGGTCAGGGATGATGGGAACTGAAGTCCAAAAACAGCAGGAAACCCAAGTCAGGGAAACACTGTTCTACACCTACTAAATTCCCTCTGGAGCCCTGTCTTCTTTTGTATCTGCCCCCCCCCCAGTGAGAATGGTGTGATTTTCATCAGTACTTATACTAAAAGGCACATATATTGTTTTCAATCTGCTGCCTAATTACCTGGAAACCTTTTATCATCTTAGGTTCTACACGTGCTGTAAACTTTCTTTCTCTTGCTCTTTAATGAAAGCTGAGTATCTGGAGATTATGACTCATGGGAGGACTACCCTCCCCTCGCAAACACCCATGTCACCTTTTTTTAACTCAACCAAGAAAGTGTTAATGAATCTAACACAATTAAGCACTGCAGCACTAACAAAAGCATTTGTAAAACGAGGGCTTTTGCCATATGGGAACTTTTGTGAAGGGGCATTTAGACAAATAAGAAGCACTTTATATTAATATTCAAAAACAATATTCAACCAACAGCAGGTGGTGGTACAAAAACCTATGTTTCAGATGAGCACAGTCTGGAATTACTGCCCTTACAAAGCAAACTAATTCAACATATACAACAAAAAGTCCTGTGGCATCACAAAGCATTTCCCCAGTCCAGTGTAGATATTGTATGTTCTGCATATGTTGAATCCCACAAAGAGGCCTTAATTTGAGCCACAGTATAGCACCAGAAATGTCCCCAGGCCCCACAATGAACCAAGTCATATCAACATTGACAAACTATACATTCTAACTGCATTGCAAGTCGTTGGATTAAATGAACTTTGGAATTCCTTCCCACCCTAAGAGTCTACGATTCTATGACTCTAAGCGTAGGAAAGGGAATCCCAAGAAGACATTTAGCTCTCATGCTTCTCAGAGGCTTTAAGAAGTCCTGTTCCTGAACTCTAGAACTTGTGCTCAGCATAAAGCTGCCAACAGGCCTGCTCCTAAGGACCTACACAAAACACCACACATCTAGGGCACATGACTTGCCCCAATGAGTCATGGGAACTGTTGTTTCCCCCTCATATGACCATAGTTCCCTGCACCCTTAAGAAACACAGATTCTAGGATTCTTTGGGGCAGGCCATGTGCTTTAAATGTATTGTGTGTACACAGCCTCTCTTTGACAGGAGCCCTAAATGCAGTTTTCATCACATGGCCCCCTATGGCCCCCTGCTTATAGCTGCACAGTGCACCACCCGTAAAGGGACAGTTTAGAAGGGCTAACTTTAAAAAGCAAGGAGTCATAGGTCAGCTGGAAAGTCAGCCCAGCCCCTTTGCAATAGAGTGCTTCTGTGCTTGCACAGAGTGCAGTCTAGAATAGAGAGAAAAGGAGGCTTAAGCACCCTCATCTCATTCTCTTTAGAAGCAGTAACTGCTTCCAAATGTAAATGGATGGTAAATGCGGTCTACCTTGCCCCTGACTTTGGCTTATGTTCTTACAATCCCCACCATAGATGCATAAACCCAAACTTCTGAAGAGTTCTGAAGACCACCCCAGAGGAAAGAAGAAAATGTGATGAAGGGCTCAAAAACTAATTGGTTTTATTTATCATTCCAGTACGTGGCTTCCCAACTTTGCAATTTTATATATAGCACATGTGTTCAAGGACAGAGAAGTTTTACTTTAAGTACCACAAGTAAAAAATAGACACCAGCAAGGGGTTGCAGTTCTCTACAATGCTTACTTGGGAATCAAGTCTTACTTAAATCAGCAGGGCTTGCTTTTCAGTAAATATACAAAAGATGCATAGGACATTTGCTGCATGTAGTGTCCCTGTGCTTTGGCATCCACAGACCCTCGTGTTCCAGGCCCAAACCCCACAATCCACATACAAAGCACCCCAGTTATTACAGAAAATGCAGCAGGGGTTTTAAATGAAGTGCATCCATCATGCTGCCCTCCCATACAAGAATAAGTCTCACTACCATTTCTACTAGTTCATTTACAGCATCATGGACACTGATGTTATCATCCAGCACCCTACTCTGGAGTAGACATTGAGTATGCATTATTTCCCCGAATTAGGGCATACAGCCAACAAACATTTACTTGGAACTAAATTGCATCAAGTTTAACAGAGCTTACTCTGTGGTAATTGTGCACCCAGTTCACATTAAGTATCAACTGGACACATTTTTACCTGAGAGGAGGCCCCAATGTTGTGTGTATTCTGACTCAGGAAAATAAATGCACAGGATTAGAATGTGTTTTGAGATTGTCTGGGAACACTTACCCCATTCACAGAATCTGGAGTCAGGCAGAAAGCAACAAGGAACGCAACCAGCCTGCACGGGGAAAGGACCAAAAATTAATTAAAGTTGTAACAGAGACTCCACCAAGTTACATTTGATTAAAGTCAAGGTAGCATCACCCCCACCGGCCGCCCTTCCCCAGAAACTCACCCAGCGCGCATGGTGCAGCGTGGCCGGCAAAGAAACTGCTTCGCTCCCGCTGGAGAACTCAGTTCCTCGGGTTGCTCACGGCGCCCGGCCCCCCGGTCTGTGGGAAGGAAGGCAGCCAGGTTAAGACAGCATGACAACAAAGTTTGGGATTTGGGGGGGGAGTGGGCAGGAAGGGCCGAGCGTGCTGCTACCGATCAATTAGGGTACGGGAAGACCTTGGTCCCGCCTCCGGGGAAAAACATTACCCGCGTAAGGTGCACGAATCCTGATCAAAGAGCGCGCAAGCGAGAATTCCCCAGCAAAACGGCCGCGGCAGCGCGGCGTCGGGCGAGGAATGGAGACGGCTAGGGGGCGGGCCCACGACTGTCAATCAGCCAATTAGGCAGCCGCAGATCCGCATCAAACTCTCTCCCTCTCCTCCCCCATCCTTTCTTTCCCCCAAAGTCAGAAAAAAAGGATAAATGAATAAACTTGGATTCGCTGATCTTCCGTTTCTGTGGCATGTTCATCATTCCGAAATTGTGCTGGGCACCTGCTTTTGATCTGAGATAACCAGAGCGCTCAGGTGATCCCAGACCAAATGTAGGTAACCAACAATGCGCCCGCGCGCGCAGCGGAGACCATACCCTCACATTTGCTTATTTTATTTTATTTTCTAAAGAAAACAATTAACTCCTATTCACGTTCACATGGACGCAAGGCTCACTTAATTCCGTGTAGCTTATGTTGCAATCCAAACACCACTGACCTGCGAGTAAGCCCCACTTAATTCAATAGAACTTACTTCTGAGTAGACATGGTTAGGATTGCGCGGCAATTTACTACTCTCAGGGAAGCACACTAATAGTTCCATTGAAATTAGCACCCCGTGCTTCGAGTGCAATTGCATAGGATCGCACAATTACACGCACGCATCTCAGCTAGGGAACGAAACCGAATCAAACAGGTGTGACACAGAAGTCCAACTCTGAACTCTTATCAAACCCACTGGAGGTTCTGAGGTATCTCATACCTGTGATTCTCCTGAGAATTTTTTTCACTGAAGTTCTGCACGTTTGCATGGGTTTGGAACCTGATTGTATCTTGGGGAGTTAAATGCAATCAAAAATTTATCTCCCTATTTTTTCCTTCTCAATTCAGAGCTGGCATCCAGTTTCAAAGACTTACAGCGCAACTCTACGCAAGTTTACCGCGCAAATAGTAAGCCTCAGTTAGTTCAATGGGACTAGGCTGTAATCCTAAACGGTCCATACAGAACCACTCACTTTCCGCTTTCCATAGGCAGCCAAAGGATGCCGAAAGCAGCACACCGATCACAAGGGTGCATCAGAAAGCTTACTTGCTCCCCAGTAAGGATGCAGCCATGGGCCCGCCCCTAAGCTTTTTGACTGAGGCCCTAACCAAGTCTACCTGGGAGTAAGCCTCATTGAATCCAATAGGATCAGTATTGTTAGGATTGAGCGTAAATCTCTCAAGAGAGGGTTACTCTCAGTTAAGTGTCCACAGGACACTTGTGGTAGTTAAGTCTGAGAACTTCCCAAAAGGGTCTGATCTGAATCCCGCCCCCTACCCAATTTTCTTAGCTATTCCCCCCCTTTCTTTTCCAGAGCACCTTCCCACCTGCCGCCGCTTCGGGAGGGGGGGGGGGGTTGCGCACAAATATACCCTTTCAGATTTGGGGTTTAAACACACCTTGCCGCTTCTGCCAATCAAGTGTCAATCAAAAACACACACAAACTCTGCGGGTTGTATCTGATGCTGCTTTTTATACAGAGGAGAACCACTGCAACACACAGAAACGACTAACACAAATCCGTACGTTTCAGTGGAACCCATCTGAGTAAAATTTAGTTGGAACACGAACCCTGCGTGTGTGAGAGGGGGAGAGAAAAAGAACGTTAATGCTCTTGAAAACCTGAACTTTTTATTTCATGGTGGCTTACCTGGAATGACTCTGAGCCTGAAAAAAAGAAAAGAAATAAACCGTCACACAACACCTATTTCAAGAACAGCCCCTTAATCATAACCATCACGGCCATTCGCTGGGAGGCTTCCTCAACCAGCCAAGGAGTGCGGCGGATGAATCCCAGAGTGCCTTTTTTGGGGACAAAGTAGTCCCGGGAGAGCGGCTTTTCTTTTCTTTTCCCCCACACTTTTTTTTAAAACTTTTTTTTTTTTTGGAGCGCGGACAAGTCTGCAAGTCTGCACAGAAAGGCGAGCGGGTTTGCAGAGACCGAGGGGGAGGGGACAGGACAAGCGGGCGGGCGCACCGCTCGCCTCGGCTCGCCTTAGCCCAACCCAGCCCAACCTTCTCTCCCCCTCTGCCCCCCCCACCTTCTTTCCCTTCCTTCCTTTTTTCCCCCTTTTTTTGCGAAGACCATGTCAGCTCCGAAGGACCAGCCCGGGAGCCTGCGAGACTGCTGAGGAAGGGAGGAGGAGGAGGAGAATGAAGCTGAGCCCGAGGGCCAACTGCCTGCTGCCGCCAACGCCCGCCGCCGCTGCTGGTGCTCTTGCTGCTGCTGGGTCTCTGGAGCCAGGACGCCGGAGCTGCGGTGGGTGCTCCGAGCTGCTCTCCTCCGGGGAAAGAAGGCGAGCGGGAGCCGCGGGAAGGGGGTGGCGGAGTGGGAGAGAAGCAGCCTCAGGTTGGTTTGCCTGTGGCTGTGTGAGCTCCCGGAGGAGAAATCGCCTCGTATTTATAGTCCTTGGTAAATTAAGTCCTTGGCGTGGGCACTCCGCTGTAGGTCTTTTTTTTAAAGTAAAAAGCCTCGGTTTCAAAATAGGGCGACCTTGATTGTTGTTGCTTTGGAAATGGCCATGTGTTTCAGAGGCCGGATGAGCGAGCGGGTGGGTGGGGGGGGGGAACCTTGGGAATGACCCTGTGCGCTACCTTCGTAATCCCCGTGTGTGTGTGTGTGGGGGGGGACTCTTATCTCTCTCCCCTGCCTCATTTCCCGGCCGCGGAAAATGGGGAGGGCGAGCGGGGACCCACGTTGCCTTCAAGGCAACTCCTGAATTTCTTTCACTAATTAGCTGAGCCTTACGTTGCTTTTCCAGCAGATGGCCCAAACTTTTTATTTTAGCCGCTTAAAAACCTGTTGAGAGTGGAGCACGAACTTATTAATCATCATCATCATCATTATTATTATAGGACAGCTTTGTTTTTTGGGAGAGAATATCCAAGGAGTTGATTAGGGTAGGGGGGCTGCGGCTGTTTCCCTTCCGGCTCAAGTGCCTCTCCTTCAGGTGGCTGCAGCGTGGTTTTCTTATCTCGCCCCTTCCTCTTCCACCGTAGCTCTCGCCCTCTTCACGGGGAATGTCTATATCAAACAAAGACATGTATAGTTTTGTCTAGCTCCCTTGAGGTTGATTTGTGGCTGCCCTCCTTTCCCGCCGACCCCCTTTTAAATTAACGTATGTGAAAGTGAATTGGTGAGTTGGAGGGACTCCGTGCAGAGGGAAACCCCCCCCCCCATGCTGCTGTGTGTGTTTAGCTCCATTTGTGAAGTTTTAGCACAAAGAAGAAATTAGTTCAGCTTCACTCAGAACTCCAGAGCGCTTCCATCGGAAGCCCGCTGTCTGGATGTGGAGAGGGATCATCTCTCTTTCCCCGGGGCCTCAGGGTGTGAGACACTCCTGAAGAGCAGCAGCTTAGGCTTCCCACTTGTCCTTCCAGAGGATGCTTTTGCTAACCAAGTTGAGGGAGTGTGATGTGTCCTACTGGGTTTTGGAAATATGTTAGAACAAGTATGTATGTGTGATGCTTAGAGCAAAATATGATTTTAATACCTATTTAATGCCACACCAGCTACTTCTTGCTTTTTATATAGTATTCTTTCATTTGCAGCCATGAGGGTCAGGGAGGCGGTAATTTTTTTTTACTGAAGCATTGCTTAAGTACCCACAGAATCTTTGGTGAGGGAGGAGGATGGGGAGAAAACCAATGGGTACCACCTCTGGCTCCACTATTGGCTGCCCCACCAGGTCCCCAGCAGCCAGCACTGAGTTGCAACATGCGGTGCTCAGGTTTGCTGTTAATGCCCATTTTACAGATGGGGAATGCTGAAGCTGAAACATAGGGCCCAAGGTTGCACACTTGAGTTTGTGGCAGAAGTAGGACTTGAACCCAGGCTTTCCAGCACATGGTGGTTCGCTTCCTCAGTCTGTGGGGCTAAAATGTATACCTTATGTTATATCAAAAATCATGGACAAATTGTCTCTTAGTACCAGGCTAGGAAGAGCTTTTCCAACTGAACTAGTGTGTTGATCCGTCTAGCTCAGCAGTGTCTTTTCCTGGTCTTGGACAGAAGTACAGTGGTACCTCGGGTTACATATGCTTCAGGTTACAGACTCTGCTAACCCAGAAATATTACCTCGGGTTAAGAACTTTGCTTCAGGATGAGAACAGAAATCGTGCTCCGGTGGCACTGCAGCAGCAGGAGGCCCCATTAGCTAAAGTGGTGCTTCAGGTTAAGAACAGTTTTAGGTTAAGAATGGACCTCTGGAATGAATTAAGTACTTAACCCGAGGTACCACTGTATGTCTTTCCAAGTGTTACCTGAAATTTGAATCTGGGACCTTCTGCATGCTGCCCCTGCCTTTGCAAGACGTAGGGCTCTGCTCTCTGGCTCTGTTCCTCTGCCTACTTTCTTGATGGGAGTGGAAAAGAGAAACCATAAAAGCATCATCTTGCCTGCAGGCTCCTCTCCTAATAACAAAATTATTTCCACTGTTACTGAAAGCAGCAAACTCTTTGAAAAGCTGCCATTTGGAAGAAAAGAGTTCTCTGTGTTGCACATTTTGTGAAGGGGGAGAAAGACTTGTGTAATTTTTACCGGTATATCTTCCTGAGATTTTCTTCAGAGCCAGCAAGATGGCCAAAATAACATCCTCAAATCTTATTTTCAGTTGACTAATAATATCTCCCTTTTAAAGAAATATGTAAATATATAAATCTAAATATACTGTCCACTATGATAATAAAAATTAAAAATAATTATAAAAAATTGTATAATTATAAAATTATAAAAGATAATAAAGATAATAAAAAAGGGACGCGGGTGGCGCTGTGGGTTAAACCACAGAGCCTAGGACTTGTCGATCAGAAGGTCGGCGGTTTGAATCCCCACGACGGGATGAGCTCCCATTGCTCAGTCCCTGCTCCTGCCAAACTAGCAGTTCAAAAGCACGAAGTACAAGTAGATAAATAGGTACCGCTCCGGCGGCAAGGTAAACGGTGTTTCCATGTGCTGCTCTGGTTCGCCAGAAGCTGCTTAGTCATGCTGGCCACATGACCCGGAAGCTGTACGCCGGCTCGCTCTGCCAGTAAAGCGAGATGAGCGCTGCAACCCCAAAGTCGGTCATGACTGGACCTAATGGTCAGGGGTCCCTTTACCTTATATGCATTAATGATGGTGGACTATAATGCGTTTTGTAAATCACCTTTGGTTCAGTAACAGTGTCCTGAATTAATTTGTAGCTGTATTAGAATAATAGTGTATGCAATAAGGTGGGCCAGATGTTTATCTTGCAACCTTCCTCTATCCATTTTTTACATGGAAAGAAAAAACATTGCTGATGTTTATCTCATATTCCTGTTGGCCAATATATACTGTGCTCTTAGCTAAATCAGATTAGTTATTCCTTTGCAGATTTCTCAGGTTCTTCACACTATGCTTATAGTTACAAATGTGTGTTTGTTCTTGTGGTTATAAAACCAGGAATGACAGTTACTGTAAAATCATTCACATTCTTACATTATATTAAAAGGCCCAGACATACGTTTGTAACTATAAACATACTGTGATTGATTGGATAGCGATGATAGAACTTGGTGGCAAACTGGCATCTGTTTGTCTTCTGAAGATATGATATAGCATAATGATGAATGTGCCACTGTTGTGATTTTTTAAGTACATCAACCATGCTTTGATGTTGCATGATTAAATTAACTAATGGCCAAAAATAGTTCAGATTTAGACTATTGAATATTTTTGGAGCTTTATACATGTACTGTAGGGAGAGGCCGAGTTAAAGAACTCACTGATGTCTCTGCAAAATGGGTATAATTTTAAAATTTGGTTAAACTTAAAAGTGCATGAGGGAGCCTGGGTGGCTAGTTGGCACTCCAGCAATCTCTTTAAATTAGGTTTGCCATACCTTGGAAATGACAAATACTGTATAGTCTTTTGTGCAAACCAAGTTCTTGCTTGCAAGTAAATGGGATACAGTCCCAGCTTTGCAGCACCATTGTAGAGGTATTTACGCAGGAATGAGTTCTTATTGATTCAATGGAATTCAGTTTATTTAGGGTTGCAGCCTTGATTAACATATCCCACCTAACTGCATCGGGTTCTGAAAACTATCAAATTTTAAGTAAAATTACTAAAGCAGTGCTTGTGCACATCCAATGAGTATCATAAACACATCAATATGCTGAGATATTTTGCTGGGGGAAAATAAGCATTGCACTGTGGAAGTGAAATTAATAATTCAAGGAAGAGTCAGTAGTATAGCTGCCAGCAAATTTGCAACTTTTCTAGAAATTTCTTGCAATTACTGACTTGCCCTAATCTGAATCCATCCTTGTGACTCCTCTCCTGAACTTCTTGGAATGCTAACAGGGTTCTTACGCAACATTCTTTTCTGCTGGGGACAGGTTTTCTTATTCCTTGCAGGTATCCAGATAAAGTTGCAAGTGATAATTCGCCTAATTGCTAGTTGATTGTTGGCTGATCTATACTGTACATTGACGTGTGTTTCTATGAGAATTTTAAAAGTCCTGAGTTAAGTGGATTCCGCAGCATTTAAAATTTTTGATTAATTTACAGTACATTTTTACCACCCATTAACAAGTTCTCTGGGTGGTGTGCCATAATTTTTCAAAGCCATAGAGTATAGAAAATGCTACATGGAGCATAACATCAGGCACAAGCTAAAAGAGCACCAGAATCAAGCCATTAGTTCCCAAGGTCTAGTAAGGTAAAGGGGCCCCTGACCGTTAGGTCCAGTCATGAACGACTCTGGGGTTGCGGCGCTCATCTCGCTTTACTGGCCAAGGAAGCTGGTGTACAGCTTCCGGGTCATGTGGCCAGTGTGACTAAGCCGCTTCTGGCGAACCAGAGCAGCGCATGGAAACATTGTTTACCTTCCCACTGGGGCGGTACCTATTTATCTACTTGCACTTTGACGTGCTTTTGAACTGCTAGGTTGGCAGGAGCAGGGACCAAGTAATGGGAGCTCACTCCGTCATGGGGATTGAAACCGTTGACCTTCTGATTGGCAAGCCCTAGGCTCTGTGGTTTAACCCACAGCACCACCTGTGTTCAAGCCAGTAGTTCCCAAGGTCTAAAAACACTTAAAAAGCCTGGGGAAATGAAAAGGACTTTACCTGATGCCCAAAAGGCCACAGCATTGGTGCCGAGCAAGCTTCTTGGGGAGGGCGTTTCAAAACTAGCGTCACCATTGCTAAATGCCTTTTTCTTAGTAACCACCAGCCTCAAATTATTTGGTAAGGGAACATGGAGAAGAGTCTCTGAAGATTGGTGCAAGCTTG